GGTGATCATTCTGGACACTCACCATTTCATATATCACCAACAGATTTATATTTTTTAAAAAAAGTGTGCATTTGAATGAGTTAAAGCACCAGGAACGACAGCTGGTACCGAATAAGCACTGGGCTTGTGTGTTGTTACTGGTCAGTCAGAGCTACACTGTCCTTGCGCATGTCTGACCTTGAAACACCTCTCTGGGGCCTTGGAAAGCTTTAGAAGTCCCCGCTCTTTGGCCCTGCCCCTAAATGCCCAATCTAGCAGTGGCTGCGTGAGGCACACAGTGATGCCAAGACGGGCCTTGCAGGCAGATCTGGGCAAGGCTGGGAGATGACCGGTCCTCCCCACAGCTCAGCCTGCGTCGGGCCGGCCGTGAGGATGACAGGCACTTCCAAGAGTTATTCTGAAGAATGAGACAACCCGGGTAAAGGCCCCAGCATCAGCATCCCCCCTGAGTGGGCAGAGAGTGGCCAGGCCCCAAGTCACTGGACTCCCAGCAGCCATGGGGACAAGAGAACAACCCAGCAGCAGCGGCTTCTCTCTGGTCTTGACGAATCTGTTTCTCACCATTTAGGGCACTGTGGCCCGGGAGCGTGTTTGCTGAGCTTAGACTTCGGGGTCCCAGCTCCAAGTCTGGCTTTAACACAAACGGCAAGCCTTTCGTAGAGTCACTTAAACTCTCTCAGGCCTTGTCTCTTCCACTGTTAACTGAGTGTGAAGCCGACCTCTCCCCATGGCTCTGAGGCCATGGAAAGTACCCATGTCGTGCCAGCTCCGGGTTAGAGCAGAGACTGTGCGTGGGGCACCACGAGAGCATCTTCCTCTTCTGTCACCTCGATTACTGATCCGTGAACAGATACGTATTAACTGTGTTTTGTGGGCCTGGCGCCGAGTGAGTTGCTAATGACGCAGGGGCACACAATGCAGATGTGTTTCCTGCCTCGTCGGCTTCTAGTCTCTTTACTGAGTACCTAATGTCAATCCAACCTACTTGCACTTAATCCTTAAAATAAATTTAAAAGTGAACATCTCTTAACTCCTGTAGGGTCAGGCAGACAGAAATCTAAAAACGTTAAGCAAGACAACATGTCGGAGTGCCTGCAACATCATAGGTACAAAATAAAATAGATGTCAGAATCTCTATGGAGAATTCCAAGACAAGAGAATGTTTTGGAGATGGGAGTTTTCTACGGAGAAACTATTGAGAGTGTCTCTAAACCTGTTTAAACACACACTGTCTGTCCCACCCATCTTTTGTCTCTTAGACATGGGAAATCTATAGGCAGGACGATGGGTGTATTCTCTTAACCTAAATGAGAGAATGCTGGGAACGGCCCCAGGAAATGGGGGTCCTGCCCACCTTGGGGCGAGGGTGTGTGGGCTCCTGCCCCAGCACCCAGGGCTGGCAAATGAAACTCCTTACTCCCCAAACCCACTTTCTCTCCACACCCTCACACCACTCACATGTGGGGCCTGCTAAACAAGGAGGGTGCACGTTTGGCAGATGAAGTGGGGGCTGCTCAGTATCCTTAGTACTTTGGCCAGTGCTTTTGGGCTGGAGGCGAGGGGCAGGAAATTCTAGGTCGGGAAGAAAAGAGCAATTCTAAGGTGGGAGAGCAGAGAGAGGTGCCCTCTTGTTGCCCCCTGAGCTTACAGCTGGAGGAGGCTCGGTCTGCCACCCCATTAAGGGCAGGAGGAGACACCTGAGCCGCAGGTCCCAGCAAGCTCCTCACCAGCCGGAGGAACAGCCAGCCTGCACTGAGAGCACCCCGCAGTCGGCTGCACCTGGGACTGTGTAGGTGTATTTTTCTCCTCTTGTTGATTTGGTTACCGAAAAGAGCTTTTGATGGCGACCACATCCTTTACTGAGTATCAGGAAAGTTTATTAAAAGTGGCTCAGAGAACACAATAAAACCCCCAGCTATCTGATTCAATTCGGCGTACCTCACTTTCCTTTCTCTGTCACCCAGGGAGGAACACGCGTTCCTCCAGCAGCTGTATTTTCCCGTTTGAAAGGAGGTTTCAGAAAGTAAGATAAGATAAACAGCAATGGTGGGTAATAAATCAGAACACATATAGGATTCTTTCTAAAAGATATGCTGAATTTTCACTCAGAGTATAAGAACGTGTGCACGCCGGAGTGACAAATCCTGATCTGTCTTAACCCATTCGATGGTGACAGCCAGGAATACACCTTACACTATACACTTCGAAAGCTGTTCCAAGAGTCCTTCCCTCTGGTTCGCATTCTCCTGCCAACAGCGAGTGCTGCAGACTGCGAAGGTGGCTAGGGCCTCCTTCACCTTCACTGTGTCACCTCATCTCCTGGATGTCACCTCCCCTCAGATGGTTTTCCCCACTACCCAAATCTAATCGAGGTGCCCCACCCTGAGCCTCAGAGATCCTCTGGGTCCCCTACCTTTGCAACGGTCCCTGTCCTGATTCCCCAGCCCCTTGTCCAGAACGTCCCGTGAGGTAAGCCCAGTGAGGACAGAGACCGCTTTGCCTCCGTTTACCAATGTGTCCCCAGCACCAGGCACACCACGTGACTCTTGATCAGTGTTTGTTAAATGAACAATAGACAAATAAATCCATGAAGAAAAAACCTCCTTGGCGCAGAAACCTGAGTCTGGGGGGTGACGATAGAGAGAAAAGAGACAGATATTCATCTACAGGTACGGAGGGATAGGGGAGCTGTGGGTCCCCGTGGGCGGTTGGAGGAAGATGCACTTCGGCCTTTGCCAAGTGGAGAGAGCCAAGGCTCGGGAAGGCTTGGGTAGCGGATGGGGTGGTGCGTGGGGGCAGGTGTGCGGGGGCAGGACAAGAGCATAGAAGAGTATTCTAAGCGGAGGGAATAGCACATGCAAGAGCAGGAAGGACTGAAGAGTATAGGAATTCTAAAGCTATGGCGTCGTGTCGATCCGTTGTCCGTTTTAGCCTGGTCACAGCCAAGTGAGGTGACGAGGGATATTTATACAATATGCGTTAAGAGGTCAAATGTCAGGAAAATTTCATGGCTTGCCGAGACCCCGGGCAAGTGGAGGAGGCCGGGCAGGAGCCCACAGCTCTGGCACTTACTGGCTCTGCGGCGTCGAGTCAGGTGTAAGCCTCAATCTCCTCGTCTTTGTAATGTGCATGCTAATGTCTACTTTAGAAGACTCGCCCTAAAGGTTAAATTAGGAAAGAGATCTAAGTCCCAGAACCTTGTGGTAGGTGTTCAGTAAATGTTCTTTTCCTTCTTTTTTCCCACCTTTCCCCCAACCCCTTCCCTCCGTATTACTGTCGCCTCCCCTCCATCTACCATTCTTGGTGCTCTGTATTCCCTTTTTTGCTCCACTCTAAGGCCGGACAGCCTTGTGTGTGGATGAGTCAGATTTCTGCTTCCCCGGGAGCCTGTGCAGCGCCCGGGCCCTGAGCAGTCTCCCTCTCCGCCCCTGTCCCCCTGGAGCACGCACGGCTGCCCCAGTGCTTTGTTGCTCCCCTGTGCCCTCCGTCTCCCGGACTCTCACATTCACCACCAAGCCCGGGGTCTGAGTTACATACATCTTTACTGTGTCAGAGCCCAGCGCCTCGTCGGGGCTTGACACAGGCTTGCTGCTGCTGAAAGTCTTTTCCAAGTCAGAATTACAGAACAATGACAGTGTCAGGGCGAAGGTCGGCTGTCCTTTCTGTGATGGTTAATTGTTGATAGAAGCCACCGGAGAGCTGGTGTGTTGATGTCACCAAGTCGTTGATGTCACTGAGTCTGCAGGGCAGAAAGTCACGGGAGCAGAAACACTTCTGCTTTTTAAAAAAATGATTTTCAAGAGGGAAGACTTTTGGAAAATGTCATTCTTTGGAATGAGCTAAGACATGAAATACATACAGCTGAGTCGTTTCGAATTAAGAGAGAGCAGACATGGGCGGGGACGCCAGCATCGGTAAATCGTCTCCTTCGCCTTCATCACTTTGCCTTCCGTGTATCATCCATCTATTATTCCATTTGCTCAGTACTCATCCGATGTTTTATAGAAGAGACATAGTCCATAAACCCAATGACAGTTTATCCTGAGGGAATATCAATGGCTACAGAATCAGGTTTTTTTAATAAGGAATTAAATAACCTCCAGAATGAAATGCTCATTGTATTAATTAGTTCTGTTACATATTGTTGAGTAAGAAATAACCTTCAAACCTCAGTGGCTTAAACCACAAAGATTTATTTTTTGGTCATGTTATTTATTGGCTGAGGCCATTTGCCATTTCTTCAGTGCAGGACCCAGGCTGAATCTGGGACAGGCCCCTCTCCTGGCAGAGGGAAATGTCATAGCCACACTGTACCATGGTTCTCACAACTTTTGCTTGGACATGGCCCATGCTACTTCTGTCCATGTTTCATTAGCCAAAGCAAGTCATGTGGACAAGCCTACATGAATGGGACTGTGAGGATACTCTTCCTAAAGGGTGTGGGGGGTAGGGAGCCATGCAAGGGCAGTGGATATGGGTTCTCCTTTGATAGGGGAGGTCAGTGAAAATTTCGGGACAATGTTAAATCTCAGGGCTGAAGTTAGAAGCAATGGGATCTCCTTCCAGCAGATGAAAATCAGATACCATTAAGTTGTACAAACTATGACATTGTCTGATCCTACCTCCTTGGCATTCCACAACAAGACCAGTTTAAGAGGTTCTAAAAATTTGCCAGGACAAAGTTATGGAGAACTTGAATGAAAGAAGTGGCACAGAGGAGACTAAAGGATGGATTTGAGAAATATTTAAGATCTAAAGCTAATGATGTACTGTATGGTGACTAACACAACATAATAAAAAAATTTTTTTTAAATAAGATCTGTCATGATCAATGATAACTTATAGTTATGAAATTCCTGAGGAGTTCAAAAAAGGAATGGAAGATATCTTCAAGGTTTGAGTTGTTTACCAGCCATTCGGATGTGGATGGTTTTGGGGTGTTGTGAAGTAACCAAGTTTACATTTTTTAGGGTAACTAGGTCATCGCTTATTCTTCGCAGGTTGGTTCGATTTCAGACCACCATCACTATTTACCTGTCCTCCCACAAGAATGAAAGACCGCAGTACAAGTACATATGGCACTCACTTTGCAGTTCATAGTCTCATAAAAGTTGTAACCATTGGCTTCACCCAGGAAAGAGTGGTCATCAACGGACACAAACAGGTGGGAAGCTCCCTGCACTTGGTGTCGTGCTTGCGGACCTGAAGGGGGACTCCAGCGAGTCCAGCACCAATGGACAGTGGTCTAAAACCTGCATAAGGGGACGCCTGGGTGGCTCAGTCGTTTAAGCGTCTGCCTTCGGCTCAGGTCATGGTCCCAGGGTCCTGGGATCGAGCCCCGCATCAGGCTCCTTGCTGTGCTCCCCCTACTTGTGCTCTCTCTGTTAAATAAATAACAAATAAAATCTTAAAAAAATAAAAGCTGCATAAAAATGGCAAATCTCTTCTCAGAGAGCAATATTTCAATCTCACCAGAGCTACTGATATTTCAAAGTTAAAACAATGGACAGTAATTTGGAGTTTTAAATGGTGCAGAAACAGATTTTCTAATTTCACTTCCGACAGAAATTAAATTTAGACAAAAAAGTAATAATACTGAAGCATAGATTAGAATTTCAGTCAGGATTTGTCATGGCAATTGCTTTCCCTTTTTTGGCCCTTTAATGTTTCCCTCTAATGACAATTTGCTGACATTTCTTAGAAGAATGAAACCAGTTGAGATCTAAGCATTTGTTTGAGTGCAAGCTGAGTTTTAAATTAATTTCCCCAGAGAAAATAAGGGCTCCAGAGGGGTCATATTAGCCACAAAGGTTGAGCTGTCTGAAGGTATTGTGAAACCCCAGAGCTGAAACAATCCTGAAAAAAAAGTGGGGAGCAATGATTTCAGTTCCTTTCAGAAGAGCAGGAAAGCAGCAACCTACCTAAGGGGGTGATGAGACATTGTTTTACAAAACTAAGCAGAAGGGATGAAGTCCATTCTAAAAGCTATGAGAGATGGATCATTTACTTTAAAAAAAAATCTGTCAGAGTCTCCTACATTGGACAAGGCTCTGTGTTCGGTGCTGTGGGGGTTACAAAAATTAAAACAGAAGTTCTACTCTCAAGAGGCAAAAAGATCTTCACATCTGGTAGAACTCGGTAAGTCCCAAAGGGTATTTGGGGGGGGGGGGCGTTGTGCCTTAATTTATGTGTTCACTCCTCAAATATTTGGGGAGATCTACTAGGTCTGAGCACCGGGCTCTATACTTCTGATACACCATAAAGAAGGCGGAGCCCCTCCCACGGAGGCACAATTGTAGTTCCACAAGATACTTGCTAACACAGAGGCATAAATGGGACGCCAGTGATGAATATCACGTGTGTTTTGATATCAGAATGAGCAAAATTTCATTTCTCCCTCACTGATTATTTTTGTGATGACCACAAACTTACGTTTTCTGGGATTTACTTTTCTTGTTTACAAAATTAAGAATATTTTACTTACTTCAAAGAACTAGTCTAACAGTATAATAGGATTGCATATGTGAGATTCAGGCACGAATCAGCACAGCCAGGAGAAATTGCATATGGCCGGTGTAGTAGTCTATTACCCTGAGAACCAGAGGAGAGAGCAATCCTCCCTTCTTTCCAGGTAAAGGCAGAGTATCATGAAAAGAAAAACAGCATCACACACACACACACACAACATGCACACATACACAAAAGATAAGATTGAAGGGCATTTCTCCCCTTCAACTTCCGTGTGAAGTCCAATTTTATCCTTTGAAACTCATGGTGTTTCCTTCCCTGGGAAGACTTTCTTCCAGGAAGAGTCAATCACTCCCTTCCTTTCTCCTTCTACTATATAGAAGTCTGTTGTAGCATTTATCACATTTAGCCCCATTACTAGGTGGTTAAACATGTTCCTATCCTATTAACCTGTAATATTTTTGAGAGGGGGAACCTTGCTTTTGTCATCTTTGTGTCTCTCGCTTCTGGTTCAACTTAGCATAATATGGTGCTTGTTGAATTAGCAGTTAAGGAACTAGACTGCCACTGAACTTTCTGGTACTGGAGGAGAGAATGGATCACAGGAGGAATAAGCACCAGTAACATTTCTCTTTGTGCTTTAGAAACCATGTGGTGCCAACACTGAAAAAATATGCACACCCTCTGCCCTTGGTAGATGCTCCCCCGCAAAAATTGCATACTGAATCAAGTATTAGTGTATTGATTTTTTTTTAATTTAAGATTTTATTTCTTTATTTGAGAGAGAGAGAGCAGGAGAGGGGAGGCAGAGGGAGAGGGAGAAGCAGGCTCCCCGCTGAGCAGGGAGCCCAATGCGGGGCTCAATCCCAGGACCCTGGGACCATGACCTGAGCCAAAGGCAGACACTTAACCAACTGAACCACCCAGGCGCCCCTAGTTCATTGATTCTTACTGCTGTCAGCATGTTAGTCTTACAAACACAGATTTAATTGGGCCACTGTTCTTGAAATCGTCTATATTGGATTAAACACAAGCTACTCATCATCTTTTTTGAAGTCTTTCCAAAACTTGTGTTATGTTCACCCTGGTCACCTGAAGCTCCTCCCACATGCCTCCTGCCCCTTTGTATGCAGAGCTTCTGCACACTCACGGACCCTTAACACTCTCAATTTTTAATGATAATGATTTATTTATATTTAGTTTTAAATTTTTCTTTCTTTTGAGACAGACAATAATTATACCTCACTGTATTTTTTACACTTGTAAGATGAACAATGTTTATGTCTGTTGATTATTTGCATTTGCCTTTGTGAGTTATTTTTGTATGCTTTGTCCAGGTTTATATTATTGTAGTTCTGTTTTCTTGCATATAGATATATTATGAATTTTTTAATGTGCACTTTGTAATTTTTTAACAGCTTGTTCTTTAACTTTGCCTATGACATTTTTGACATGTAGATGGCTTTTCCAAATATAATCAGATCTGTCACTCTGCATTTGGTATTATGCTTACAAACGGTAACTCAGTGTAATTTTAGATCCAGTGATGCAAAAAGCTATACCAGAGAAGAATTATGAAATATATCCTTTTGAGATGCAATCTTTAGCTTTTTACACATGTCAGATTGCAACAAGGTTCAATGATTTGAGGGTGCCCGTGAGAAGGTGCAATGAGGATGTATGCCATACTGAGCAGTGAGTTTTATGCCACATCACACTCAAACACCAGACTAAAGAGGGGTGAAGCAAGAGACTCAGAATTGTGCTGACCATTGACTGCACTGGGGCATCTTGCTTTTGTTTGGGAAAACACCAGACTGGAGCATATTAAAAGTGACATTTTCAAAGAATGCAGTTTACTTAGGAAAAAAAAAATGCTTTCTGCCTGAAACTTAAAGAAGAGATAGTATAGAGCTAGTAATTTGGAAACCTGGCAGTGGTTTTCATTTTGCTTGACTTTGGGCCTCAGATTATTTTATTTCTCAACAAAGAGTGAAACTCCAACCATCCCTGGGATCTTAACCTGTGAATTTGCCAAAATGTACATTGTAAATCATCTTAAATACACACACAGTGCAATAACGCCTTTTTGGGGACCTCAGACAATGAGGGAGCTTTCTTTGAACCTTTCTCATATCTGAGGCGAATATGTTGCATGGCACGTTAAATGAAAAGTGTCAGATGCTTGACACATGCAGGACCCCAAGTAACACACCTTACTGGTGCAGCTTTGCCAAAAGGAAGTAGCACAGAGAGACAAGGGACCTATTGTTGACGACGGCTGTCTCCTCTCAGTCTCAGGCTTTGCACCTTTAAATTTGAGTTAAAAAAAAAAATGCCTATCTCGTAGGAGTGCTATCATGAGTAAAGGAGATAAGATGCATTTCTCATAAATCCCAAATAGATTCTAGGTCCCACTATATCACCCCTCTGCGTTTTCCAAGACAAAAATTTTATACTTCTACTCTTTACTCTTTCAACATTAACCTTCAGTCCCAAAGAAGCTCACTTTTTATTTCACTGATGAAGCAGAAACAATTACTGAGACTGAAATCATCTTTCTGACATCCAGACTCTCATCCTGCAGCACTGGCCCCCACCCTCTGCATTCTCCATTTTTCACTCTGGGTTTTAGTATGAATGACCTTTCATTCATCTGGAGGGCAACTCCTTTAAATGTCCATTAAATCTGATTCCCAGGAGTCTAATGAAAGATTTTGCATCCTTATTCATCCCCCTGTTTTCTGCACCATCAGTATTTCTCTCTTTCATGGATATCCCCATCAATATTCAGACTGCTACGGTATCTCACATCTTACACACACACTCACATGCATCCTTTACATCCTCTCTAGTTAAAATGTGGCTCCCATTCTCTACTTACCTTTACTATGAAATTCGTAGAAAGGGCTATCTACAGCCTCGGTCTGTATTTGCTACCCACACCAAAACCTTTCTAGTCAAGGCTACTAGTGACATACTAGTCCAAGCTACCATCATATCCGGGCCGGAAATGTGCATTAGCTTCCTATCGGGTCTCCATGCTTTTATATTTGTCTTCTTTTAATGTATGCTTAAAAAAAAAAAGAGCAGAAAATGATTTAATTTCTAAAAATTTTTAATTGTGGCAAAATACACAAAACATAAAATTTACTATCTTAACCATTTTTAAGTGTAGTAGTGTTAACTGTTTTCACATTGTTGTACAACCATCTCCAGAACTTTTTCACCGTCTCAATCTGAAACTCTATCCCTATTCACTTTCCTCCTCTTCCCAGCCCCTGTCTACTTTTTGTTTCTATAAATTTGACTACTCTGGGTACCTCATATAAGTGGAAATAGAGTGTCTTTTTGTGACATGCTTATTTCACTTAGCATTATGTCCTCAAGGTTCATCTGTGTTGTAGCCTGTATCAGAATCCCCTTCCTTTTTAAGGCTGAATAATATTCCACTATATGGAATTTATTTTGTTTATTCATTTATCCATTGACAGTTGAGTTGCTTCCAGCTTTTGGCTGTTCTGAATAATACTTCTATGAACATGGATGCAAAAATATCTCTTTGAGACTTTGCTTCCAATTCTTTTGGGTATATACCCAGAAGTGCAATTGCTAGATCATATGGTGATTCTATTTTTAATTTTTTGAGAAGCCATCATACTGTTTTCCATAGCAGCTGCACCATTTTACATTCCCACCAACAGTGAACGAAGGTTCCAAGTTCTCCACATCCTCACCAAAAGCAAACTATCTTCTAAAAAGATAAATTAGATCAAAGCACAACCCCTGTTTAAAAAAAAAGAAAATTGCTAACAGCTTCTCATATACCAATGTGTGTGTGCATGTATGTGTGTGCGTGCGTGCATACGTGTGTGTGTGTGTGTGTGTGTGTGTATGTAATCCTTACTATGCTCCACAAGGACTTATATGGAATGCCCTTTGCTTACCTATCCATCCTCAGTTCCAAGCATTCTCTCTCTTCCCTTTTTTACCATACGCAAGCCTTACCGGTCTTGCTTATAATCTTCAAACGCTTCTATCCCTGTCCCACTCAGGCTCTTTACACTTGTTATGTCCTCTAGCTGGATTCTCTTCCCCAAAATCTTTACTTACTCAGATTTTAGCTCAGATGGTTCACTTCTATCTAAAATACTGTCCCTTACCCTTCTCATGCTTTATTTTCTTCCTAGTAATGAATAGTATCAGAAATTACTTATATAATGGAAGATTCGGAATTGTCTGTCTTCCTCACTAGAATAAAAGCTTCAGGAGAGGAGGAACATCTTCTGTTTTGTCTCCAATTTGTCTTCTACTCCTGAAACAATACCTGGCCTAGAGTAGACATCCAATTAATATATGTTGAAAATACACATAAATATTATGTGATAACCACTTTAAATAAGAGGGAAAATGATGATAAAAATGATGGTTTTATAATGAAGACAATAGTTTGAGCTCTTTACCTCCTTCCATTTCTTTGGACAACCAAGAGAGGTGCAAGCATCATGAAATGATTACCATGTCTCTACCTTTATTTTGAGTTTATAGGAGGAATAAAGCCAAATGCAAAGGTAATACAAAGTAGGAACAAATTTCTCTAGAATTATGTAGCTCCCGTTAGAGAAAACCTGAGGTAAGCACGGGATCTGAAATAGATAAGGATTTACAGTCTTGATATTGAAGAAATCATAACAGCTTCTGAATGGCTGCAAACAAGGAAAAAGACATCATCTTGGCGATGCACCAAGGCTATGCAGCCCTGGGGTCTGAGGCACCAACTGGCTACCTGATGAAGCCCAGTTGAGGTGATGTTTGCTGGAACACAGGGCACGTCCAAAGGAACAGCCCGATAGTGGTGATGTCATAGGTCACTTCCGGGCCCAGGCATGTGCTTTCTAGGTAATTTGACTTCCATTGTGTTTTCACTCTCATCATCCGTAAATAAAGTCATAGAATTTTGGAGCTGAAATAATCTGAAATATCAATGCAGAATTAGGCACTGATATGCTCCTGTCCTGATCAAACTCCCTTTTATATTCAAAATCACCTTGAGGACATCTTGACCAGACAACGAAAATACAAAGGTGATCTGAGAATACATCACACTGGTTAAAGAAAGCTCCAAGGGAAGAGGAAAGTATCAACTCCCCATAGCTCATTAACAAATAA